GTGTATTGTAGAAAATAAATACACCCAATCCAAATATATCAATAAAACAGACCAAAGACGTACGCGCGATACGGTTGAAGTTTCCAGATCTTTTACAATAAGAGATGGGGCTCTCTATACACTGTGCGTCACTCATTGATTAACTGGTGATTTTCGAAAGGTAATTTTTTTTCAGTTGGGACGTGCTTAGGTAGCCGTTTATCACTGCCAGACAACTGGAGTGGTGTGTGTAGTTTTCTTCCGTACCTACAATTGTAGTGTCTTAAGTTGCTAATGAGGCGCTATATTATTTGTGGGAATTTCAAAGCGCGCGTAAAATCATAAAATTGAAGACTAAAATTGGTCAGCGAAGTCATCTATTTTTTCTGCAAACAGATAACCTGTTCGCAGGCTAACTGTTAGTAAATAAATTCTCAGTTCTTCAAGTTTATGTAAAAGATTTGCGATTTTTAGCTATCAGGTGTGCGGCATGTCTGTTGGAAGCCTTACTCTATTTCAGATTAAAACATTAAAATCCGTTTTCCCGTTGTCTAGGTTACGCGGTGTGTCCTTCAGCAGTGAAACTAAGCGAGCCATAATCATGCATGAAACGCCTGGACTTCCGCGTAAAAGCATACCACAGGAAAGCAGACCCGACCAAAGAGTGAAAATTTTTAGTCTTGCTGCTATGAACTCGTGAGACAACTAAGAGAGAAGCTATGACAAAGAAAAGAACCGTTTTATTTCATTAAGTTATCCCTTATTGAAGGAAAAAGCGATATCTTACTACGAAAGTGCTTAGCTTTGTCTTGTGGGGAATTTAAACTGATTGCCCCGGGTTAAGAGAGGGGTAGGCGCGCACTCTTTTCCAGACTCTTCGTTAGACCTTGCTAGTGAATAAGCCATTTCCGGGTTACCTTTCACCTCTGTTTCTCAAACTCATTAATAATTCATCGAGTTTAAACAAAGGAAATCATGACCGTGACAGTGTTTGGATATCTGATCTTAATTAGCATAGATTTTTACGATTTTACTTCTCCGGTTTCTCCTTAGCTTTAGTTTCGATTGAGAAGATATATCAAACACTTAAGACAGTATTTGACCACATTTCCAAACACCTCGAAGTTCGTCAAAAATACTTCGCTGCGCGTCTATTTTCAACTCTCTTCTCCGTGTTTGGAAATGTGGTCAAACACGGTCTTTCGTGTTTGATATTACGTCAAAGCGAGTGCGTGCGAAACCATTTATTACGGGAAGACGTGTTTGTAAAACCTCGTGGTTCGGAGCAGAACGTGTGCACGCGTGTTGAAGATCTCGGTAGTTTTACGTATTCTGCAGAGACTGAGCAATGACGGCTAATTTTTCATATTTCTGTTTGGGACTGAGGGATTTCGTGATATATTTAGCACGAGCAGGTTTTTACATCGATAGACCCAATGAAAAGATCGAAAAACTACAATGAATTTAAAATTAAAGTTTTTAACTAAGCGTCGTCCTCGGGGTAGCCGTAGTGATTCCTTCAGCTCTCAAAGATTTATCACAACTGTAACAGTGACTTTATTTCGAATGGACTGTCAACCATATATTTTAAGGCATAAAGGCCTGGAAACTTCTAACTCTAGTGTACAATGTTCATTCTCAAATAATCTTGGCTGGTGCGTAACGGTGCTGGGCGACACCTATTTCGTCCGGACTCCACCGCAGTGACATCATTACTGAGTTCGCTTCTTTCGTTTCTCCGCCATTTATTAGGACTCGTTCAACACCAAGGCGTTCTAAACTTCTCAAATCACTCTGTTGCTCTTGATTGACAACAGGTTGCGCACTGTCTAATTTCCTGAATTGCTTTCGCTTGAGTTTATTTTCCAAGTCTCATTTCAGAACGCAACTTATGCAAATGTCCTCAACAAGTTTTCAAATCTGATTGACTTCAAATTTTTACAATTTCCAGCTCAACATGTGTAATTTACTGTCGCAAGATCAACAGCCACAGCTTGAGTGCATCTCAATGGTGACATCACAGGGAGCAGCGCGGCTTGCAACAACTTCATCTCTACCAACAAGCGGATCTTATCCTTGCGTGTCACTTAAGCGAGCCGATAAAATTGTCCAAGTTGTACTCTGTTTCATATTGCTCCTCATCCCACAACTCGCCTAGATTTTCCATCATGGCTTTCAGTGAAGTCTTGCCTCCTTCACTTTGCTGTTGTGCGGAGGTCTTCTCTTTCCTTTTCTCCTTATCGACAGAGAACAGATCAAGGAGCTGTCCTGTGTCCATGGTCGATAAGCTTGAGTTGTCTTGTGAGATGACTGTGTTGGCGATGTTCAGTTTAAACTTTTGAAGCCTAGAATAATAAAAAAGAGTAGGAAGCTTAACAAGTCTCTTCGCGCCAAACTCGTTCTTTCCCGTCTATAAATGTAAATTGTGATAAATAAGTGTGTTGTTGTTGTTGAGAGGAAAGAAGACAGAGCCTGGGAACGAGGTGCGTGACGAGTCCAAAGAGTGTACGCATTGGAGTCCAAAGCGGCGGGACAACAGGTTACGAGTAAAGTTAAATAATAGAAAGTTTTGCAGCTAAAAATACGACGTATTGAAAATGGGATAAATTTTACAAGAATTTCGATGTCAAGTTAACTTATAATTGTCAATAGAGGGGGTGCAGATTAACTTCCCAGCCCTCCCAAGTGGGAGACAGGAAACGGGAAGTGGCTTGCTAGGTGAATATAATCATAATTCGGCTGGCCAACGTCTAAATAAGCCGGTACATTCAAAATATAAGAAATTCTCCCAATAAACGTTTTCCTCTTCAGATTGTATTAGCTCACACACAAACCTACCCCATAATCTTTTCCTCAAGCGTTCCCCGTGTGATTAATCTATACACGTTAACAACTTTCTTCTGTCCGATACGGTGCGCTCGGTCCATGGCCTACAAACACAATGACACAAGAACACAGTCAGAGACAAGTACAACGTTTGGCAAACTGTGGGAAGGAGTAACGAACGATAGAAAGGGTAAGAACCGTAGAAAAATGTAAAGAACGACAGAAATGGGAAGGCTAATGGGGGGGTGGGGTGGGCCCGGTTAAGGAGAAGGTCACATACTTGCAAGTCTTTCATTGGGTTCCAGTCATGCTCCACAAAGACAACGGTGTCGGCACCAGTCAAGTTTAGCCCCAGCCCTCCAACATGTGTTGTCAGCAACAGAATATCGATAGATGGATCGTTGTTAAATCTAAATAAAAGAAAAGAGAAGTCAAGAAAGTTAAATACGGTGTACTGCCCTAAGAAGCTACCTCTCGTGAGCGACCAGCTGAAATACTCCGTCAGATAACTTAATTATTCCAGTGTGACCATTATTGGCATTTTAACCTTTGGTTAGCGCCAGTCCATAGAATAAGCTGATAGAGCACCAGACCGGTGTGCGGAAGGTCCTCGGCTCTACTTCCATCTTGGACCTTGAATGCCTTGAATTTTCACTCTATAAACTCTTATGTTATTACTGTCTTAAGTGTGGAATGTTCCGCAAGATCAGTGTTTTCTTAGAAACTGGACTTGACACTTAAGATGTAACTCAGTATTGTAACTCAAAGCTCGAACGCGGACTGAAAAGTAACACAATTTACACACTTATAAGACTCACCGAACACTTACCTTTGTACGAGAGAGTGACGTGAGCCCGCAGGCGTGCTTCCATCAAGTCTGAGGTATGTCACAGTAGGCATATGTTTTCTGCAAGAGTCAAAGAATCCAAAGTTTTTAAGCATTGTCTGACGCGCAAAGGACAACTAGAACAATTCAGTACGGTGCGTTCTTACTTGAGGAGGTCATTTTCAACAATGTCCAACATGCTCTTCAGTTGGCAGAATAACAGTACACGATGCTGAGACACAACCGGGTCTGACGACAAATCACTGGAGCCTGGGGACGAAGAACTCACTCCTATCCCACAATCCAACAGAAGCTGCCTGCAAGTCAGTCAACAGCAAACAGTTTGAAAACATGAAAGGCATCTGACCTTATCAAAAAACGCTTACTCTACGAAGTTCAGTGTGCTCTTGATGTTTTTCACATCAACAATACCAATTTAATGTTTCCAGAGGTATAACAAAACATTGGCTAAGCATTTGTTCAAATGGTGCAAAAATGTGTGTACTCAGCAAAGCCTTTAGGAAACATGAAATTGACGTTCCCGTGAGAAGGATGTCAAATGACTGTCTGTCTCACAGAATTATACCAAGTTGAACATATGCCATCATTCCCTCTCTGTAAGACCAATTACCACATTCAGTGCTTAATGTGGTAAATGAATGAAATGAATGAATGATCATCTATTTTTCAAAAAATTATTAGCTCGCCAGTACCTTTGTCACGACCAACTCTCTGGTCTCACAATTTTCCTCATCTTACCGTCTCCACCAAAAATTCAAATTACCTTTGCTTTTAAAGCAAGCAAAAATGATTTGGCTATTGCAATCCCCATAGAGCACCTGAACAGGAATACAGTAATACCAGAAAACTTACTTGAGGGCGACTAGTTTGGCAGCGTGTTGGATATCCCGGATGGATATGTTCTGCTGATGTAGTTGGTCCATGACCTTGTCGTATTCTGGATGATTGGCAGTAAGCACCAGAAGGGGGTGGTTACACAGCTTACGAAGATACTGAAGAGCCTGGGGACGAGTCAGAAGTCACGTTAGTTGATGGCTCGAGTATCAGGCGTTTCGAAAGTAAGAGGGAGGGGAGAGGGGAAAAGGAAATAACGTTTTCCTCCGCTTCTCTCTTCCTCCACTCTCC